TATAGTGTGAATTGTTGTTGTGTATAGGAAAATTTCTTGAACATATTTGGTTTTTGTGATGCGATTCTGTGTGTGTGTTACTGTTTGTTAGTTTGTTTTCATTTTCTCCCAACAACTCCGTAGTAACTGAGAATGTAGTTCACCTCGTAATTGGTTGTATTTTTATTATTTCGTGCGATCATTTACGACGAGGGATTAGTACTTGTTGTCGATGGTGAATACTTCCATCAGAATGACCTGCCTCAAAGTCTAATAATGTCTTGAGAAAGGGTACTACCACTCAAAACAAACCCACCAAGTACTGCCCTATCTATCTGTCAAAACAGACCACATGTGATTTTGTAGCATTCTTTGCCGTTCACTTGACTGGTGTTCAATTATTCGTTGTACGGGATCCGTTACAACGCAGGGATGGAGAGGGTCTGAAATCAACATTTGTGCATGTTGAAACCAGGGAAACAAAAACCTATCCCAACCTACAGACCGCGATCAAATCGAACTTTTCTTAGTTTTCGATCCGACAAACTTCTATCTTGGTTGGTTCATATGCCAGTTCGAGTCAATTTGGTTTGGACTCGAGCAAGCCGCTCCTCACCGACTAGCTCTTTTTTACTCTTTGATAAAGCAAAGCAAAAGAAAATGAAAGGAACGTTTGCAGACAGGGTAAAGAATGGGGATGGATACCTCCCACCCCCTTGTTTTCGTCCAGAAAGATATCATTTTCAAAGCCCCCAGTTTGTGAAGGGCACACGGGTGCCCGCTCCTCGATCTGTTTGTTTCATTCATCACTGTAAAATGAGCTCTCATGATTGGGGGAAAATAAATCCAAATACGTATTTATAATTTTTAAAAATATATATAAATATATACGCATAAGTACAAAGTGTCCTACATACAGAAAATTTTAGGACCACTGCTGCCCTCCAGGCTTCCACCGGCGACGATTTAGGGGCCTTCAAGAGAAATGAAGAAATCTTTCACTTCTTCACATGCTGTGCTGTGTGCATTCAATTCTTGGCATTAGGTTCCAAAGAAAAAAAAACCAGACTGAAAAACCACACATGCACTCCATGTGCCCTTTATTTATGTTTTATGCCACCTCAGAGATCTTTCACGAGTAAACACATTGCATAGTGGATAGTACCCTCCAGAGCAGATCAAATAGAAAAACAGGAAACATATGAATGGTCAATTACTGGGAAAGTGGTTACAGAAATTTTGATAATTAACGAGTTCAATATTGAAGGTCCGAGTAGCTGTTAAACGTCGATGTTTAGCAAAATTTGTCATCGGAAGCGGGAGGAACCAACAAATTTGAGTGTTTTGACGAATTTGACATCGAAGGTCAGAGTGGCCAACAATATCATGGTTTGCCATGTCTGTCTTTTAAATGTGTAAGTATGTAAGTGCATGATACAAGAAAAAAAGCTCATTTAGACACAACGATTTTGGGTAATGTTATTTATTCCTATAGGTGCTGCAGCCTAGTTATTCTGCTAACTTGAAAATTCGTTAGTATATACTAACTAATATCCAAATCTGCTGAGTATCTAGATAACACATACTAGTATTCAAAACATCACAAACTAGTATCCAGATAGCAGATACCAACTAATATCCACAATCAACCAACTAGTATTCAATATGGATACTCTTATGTGTTATCTGGATACTCTTAAGTGTTATCGAGATACTAATTATGTGTTATATGGATACTATTCTGTGTTGTCTAGATATTAGTTTGTGAATTTGGGATAATAGTTGATTCATGGTGGATATCAGTTAGCAAACTTTGAATACTAGTCTGTGCTCTCTAGATACTTTAGTACTTGGATACTAGTTCATGTATTTTGGATATCAGTTAGTATCTGCTAACGAATTTTCAAGTTAGCAGATTAACTTTCCCCTAGGTGCTGGGGCTTGGGAATGACAAGTTTAGGAAAGAATCTATCACTCTTCGTCGCATCGAGAGAAGGTATATCAGAAGGACCTACAACGATGAAGGAGAAGAAGGACTAGAATCTAGCTTTAGTAGGGAGATCTTTTCTACCAAGTGCTAGTAATTGATTTATCAGTGATCCTAGAGTTTGGGTGGCAATCTATGAAATGAACTCAACCTTTCTTCCTTGCTTTTTTTCTTTCTTTGCCACCTTTGGGTAAGGAAAGAAAAAGACTGCTTTCTAGGCTTGAATGGTGAACCACCAACCCCCCCCCCCCCCCCCCCCCCCCCCCCGAACTTTCTCTCTAGCTACATTGGTTTCCTGTTTTCACAACAGAATAGTAAAAACTGAGAGTGAGAGATATAGCACAGCAGTAAATGTGCAAAGAGTACAAAACTCAAAAGGGAAGGTGGAAATAAGATGAAGAGAGTGATAGATAGAGGTGGCAAATGGATTGATCCATGGATTGGTGGATTATCCATGAATCCAAATGACATCATCAACCAAGGATCAATATGTAAAATGTGAAAAGTTTAGGTACTAAAATGTCATAATGAAAACATTTAGGTACCAAAATGTAAATTTTCAATGATATATTTCGTATAAAAAATTAAATTTTGGGTACCAAAATGTAAAATATAAAAAGTATAGGTATCAAACTGTAATTTGCCATTTGGATCCATGGATCACTCCATTAATCCACCAATCCAATTGGATTTGGATCAAATGGATTGGATTTAAATGGATTGGATTAGGTGGATATTTTTAATGGGTTAGTGGATTGGATTGAGAATGGCCACCTCTAGTAATAGATCATGTAATAAAAGACTCTTTTTGATACATGTAATCAATTTATGTACTCTAACTAGATGTATTATTTCGCTGTATGAACTTGAAAAATACATTGTTTGAAGGTTGAATGATTTTGGTGGTGTCTCAAAAAGTGAGGAAGAAACAATCTCAACTCTTAGCTAAGATTGACAATTATCAATAATGAATAATTTTAGCGATCGCATCTTCTTTGTGAATTACTTTGAGACAAAAAGATGGATTCTTCTAATTACATTATTACCTAAATAGATCATCTGAAATTTCAACTTCCAAACGACCCCTAAGACTATGCAGGCCTACTTTTTAATCATCAATAGAAAACCTGCAAACATCATAATTATTTCAAAGCGGTTGATGAGTCCGACCAAAAAAATATACCATTAGTCTCATAATTGGATGTAGCTTACTAGCTTGATTGATGTGTTTGATCTCTTTGGTTTGAGGAGTGTTTTGTTTAGTTGGTTTAGGAGGCAAGTTTCAATCATGCTCATATAATTGATAAGTCATAGGAAGGCAGCAACCACCCAACTCTATCCTCTACAACACACACTTTATTCTCTGTCCTTTAATAACAATCATTAATTAAAGTTTCTTGGTGATGAAGCTTCTATTTTGGTGGTTGAACTTTGAAGTAAGGCACCACTGCCTTTTATTATTTGAAAGGGAAACAACATATCGATGATAATAAATTAATTATTCCTGTTTAATTAGGTGCAAAAATTATGGATTCTCGTTTAGGTGTATATGAGATTTTGACTCTAGACCCACAAGCTAATATAAAGTTTTTAATCCTCTACAAGATGTATAGCTTATTTCATAGAGACAACAGTGAATCTATCGTCGATCTATCAGTTGCCCCCGAAATTAGTAACAATTTTACCAGTTGCAATTGCAATTGTAAGAAGAACATTTTTAAGTTTTCAACTACATTAAGAACAAACTTCAGTGTTGAATAGGCGACCAATTCACCAATGTTCACTTATTGTGCTACATTAAAAACACCTCTTATTCAATCTTATGGTTTCACCACTGCGTAATTAACAAAGTATATAACAACGGAAAAGAGTCCGTTCCCTTGTTGCGCCCTTCATATTCATAATACAAAATGTACTAACACTCAATCAACACAAATCTGGAGGTTACAAGTTTGAATTTAATGATACAAGTAATACCACTAGGCACTAGATAGGTAATTAGCTCTATAAGCTCCAATACTTCTATAAGGCCATTTTTTTTTACATAATTGGGTTGGTTCAAATGGCTTTTCAGTCTTGGAGGATCGTTCCTAAAACGCAATAAAATGTGGCTTAGCTTGTTTTAAGGGGAAAAGGAGAGGACAATTTGAGATAATACTTACATGCATGCACCTCTTGCTAATAATGTCCTTTGATTTGTGACCCTCTCCTTATATAAGTAGTAACCTATATGTATAGCTACATATAAATCAGTCTCGATCTCCTAATGTAACGTGGGGTTTGTTCGACTACTTAGGCTATTAAACCTATTCTAATCATATAGCTTGACGAATTCTCATCAGTTATCACATTGAGGTGATTTATAATTTGTAGACCACCTTTATATATATGGCCTAGGGTTACCCTTTTCTTAGGAGCAACATGGGTGGATTAATATTGGGACTAAATTGATATAAAATTGCATTAAAATTAAATGAACAAAAAATCCCATCAGAACATTATGAAAACATATTTTATATGAGTCAATGTCTAGTCGTACTATACTTCGAATTTGATTCGGCCCAAAACATCTATTTTTATTTCACGTTGTTGATCGAATTGTTGCTCCCTCACACCTTCAAGCATGTACAATCAACTAAATGTGGTATGATGTTCTATTGGGGATTTCTATGTGCATAAAATGTGAGATGGTCTACTGCATACTTTCTGTTTTGTTCATTTATAACGTTACCAAAATACAACATCAACTGGGCGTTTGGTCTAGTGGTATGATTCTCGCTTTGGGTGCGAGAGGTCCCGAGTTCGATTCTCGGAACGCCCCTTTTGAGATTCTTGTTTTCACTTTTTCCGGTTTTCTCTATAAATTTGTGTGAAGTTTTGGGCCTGCTTGTGGACTGATTCACATTGCAGTCTTATCTTATGGATCCTAATAACAAGCCCAATGGAAATTAGAATGACTTTAAAGTAAGCCTAAACCAGTGTCCACTGTCCAGCTCGTCGACGGCCCAAGCAAGGCAAAGCTCTAGTTGACCATTTGTCGTGTCGCGTTCGTCCGTCGAACTCGAAAGTCTTCGATTACACCTTTCAGTATAGTGCCGCTCCTCTCACCGTCTCACGCAGTCTCCTTTCTTCCTCACTGTTCCAGATTCGCCGAGCCGAGACTAAGAACCCCAAAATCCCAAGCGCTTTCAAGCTAAAACCCTAGGAATTTGATCGCGCTTCTGATTACAGGAAGCAAAGAGAAGAGTCGCGAAGCTTCTTTTCCCCTGCTCATCTTCCTGCTTTTTTTCTCTCGCCGACCCGGCAAGCTTCACGCTAATGGCTTCCTCATCGACGGCGACGGAGAGAAGGGGGATACCAGGAGCTCAGTTCGTGGAAGATGTGGAGACATATCTAACCCAATCAGGACTCGATGTCAACTCTGCCCTTTCCTTCCTTCAGGAGAGGTGACCCTCCATTATTTCTCTCCTTCACTCTGATTTAGTTCTTTCGAAGCTGCGTCGCTGTGCGGAGCTCGGGAAATTCCGATGTCTAGCAAGGGTTTTGATTGGTGTTTGAGCTGGTTTTGTGATGGGGATTAGTGAGGTAGAAGAGGGTTCTTTCCGAATTTTTTATTTTAACGAGTCGTGGTCATTTGCAGGCTTCAGCAGTATAGGGTTGTGGAGATGAAGCTACTTGCTCAGCAAAGGGATCTTCAGGTACTGATTTTGATATCTTTTTCATGGTTGAATTCTTATTGTTATGAATAGTGATAGTCAAGTGATTTATGAAGCTACTATGGAAATGATATGTAATTGAAGCTTACTACTCTTACCAACTCGATAGTGTTTGCACCTTGTTATTTAGGTAGAATTGGTTAGAGGTGCTTCCTTCACGGCCAGAAATTCCTGAGTTTTATTTATTTCCTTGTGGTGGGTTTCAGGCGAAGATCCCTGATATTGAGAAATGCTTGGATGTGGTTGCCACTTTGCAGTCTAAGAAGGGTACTGGTGAGGTTCGTTTTGGTTCTCTCGATTATGATCCCCAGTTGGCTACATGAACATGAATGCGGCTTACATTTGCAATTCCTTGTAGTGGCTTTATGTGTGTGGGAAATGATGAGAGATGCAATTGCAGCGTAACTCCACATTTATTAGGTTATGAACTACAGTTCCTTCGCCATTTCAATGCTTGCTTCTTTCTTAGAATTGGGAGTTCATACGTCCAATACCTTTCAAGACATCGACCTGCAGAGACTATTTCAGATGTCTATATATTTTTTTGTCTTGCACCTTCAAAAGGATTTATGTTTCTCTTTTAAATATTGGGATCTAGTCCACTGCAAATGTTGAACCAAACTATTAAGCTTCCCTGTCCTGTCCTGTCCTGTTTCTTTCTTTCTTTCTTTCACTTCCTTTTTTGTGTGTCTTGGTGCTTTTAAGTAGTGCATCAGCTATCAAGTATCAAGTTAGCTGGCTAATGGGTGTAGGCTGTTAGCCGATTCAATTTGTTTTTTTATCTATCTAGATTGTCAAGCCATGTTCAGCTATGTAGTAGTCTAGTACTCGGTCATAGAAAAACAACTGAAAGGTCTAGCCGTCTAGCTAGCTTGGCATCCTTGTGTTCATTACAAACATTTGAGTCGCAAAAAGTGTTTCTGGCAAGAGAGACTTCGTAATCCTCTGTAACTTAAATGTCCCGGGGCATACATGATAAACTTCCTGTTTTCCGGTTTAATATTCTGGGTGCAGGCACTTATTGCTGACTTTGAAATCGCCGAAGGCATCTACTCACGTGCTTCCATTGATGAAAGTGACTCGGTTTGTTTATGGCTGGGAGCAAATGTCATGTTGGAGTATTCATGTGAAGAGGTTAGCACTTATGCTGGCTGGTTTTTAAGGCTTCTTGTGGTTAGAGGTTGTTTATGATTGTAAAATTTCCCCCTTGATTCTATTTCACAGGCCACTGCCCTACTGCAGAAGAATCTAGAGAACGCTAAAGCTAGTTTAGAAGTCCTTATTGCTGATTTGCAGTTTCTGAGGGATCAAGTCACAATAACACAGGTAAGCACTTAATAAACCCTTTGCACTCATTTATCTTAAAAGGTAACCCATGGCTGATGATAATGGATGCAATACTACAACTGGTCAGGTCACAGTCGCCCGGGTGTATAATTGGGATGTTCATCAGCGTAGATTGAAACAAGCCACTGCTGCTGTTAAAGACTCGTGAGCCATGGATCATTAAGACTTGTGGACTATCAGTGTAGATTGAGACAAGCCATTGATGTCTGACCTTGGAAAATGACTTCTCTTTGTGGTTTGTGAGGAATTATTTTCGGATGAGTTTATCGTCTCCACATCTACTACTACCATTTGTTCCCCATCCCATCCCATCCCATCTCATCTATTGTGGCAGTAGAAGCAAACCTCTAGATCTTTACTCAGGAGCAGTTTTGGTGCCGGAAAGGATATCACCTAAGATGTAAGGTGTGTTTGAGTGGGCTCTTGGCATTGAACAAGAGTCTGCAGCTAATTTATGCTTTTGGGAGATTGACGGGATGAAACCGGTCTTAGTAGGATGGAGTTTGAATCTGAAAACTGCAGTTGTGAATTTGTGATCTGGGAGCAGATGTATGGCACAGAGCTCAGATGGGTAAATGAATTGTAACTCATCATCTGCTCCATACTCTCTGTGTTGGTTCAGCAAGCACTCTATTCGTGCACAAGCCAAAGTCAATTTAAAGCTGTCGTATTATAGCTCTCTGGCAGTTGGGCAGTTAAACTTCTGTCCTAGATTTGAATGGTACGTTTCCCTACACGAATCAAGGTACAGCACTTGGATCCCAAGTCAAAACAAACCCAACTTCGATTGGCTTGTGCTCACTAGCTAATTGACCCATAACCAACCGTCACCAACTTCAATCCGACCACATTTTTAGAAAGACTGATCAATCTACCTTGATTTTGGTGGCGCAACCACAGAAATTGAGTTGCTCAGTTTGATTTTATGATCACCGGGCAATGCAGATCGATCCAATGTAATACGTTTGCGATCATGATTGGACCCTCAACTTACCAAGTTCAATCGGTTTACATTTTTTTAAACAAAATCATGTGTGTTTGCGAGCTACAAATTTTGGTTTTTATGGGTCATGTGTCAATTGTCCAGACAGTTTGAGTCAACTTATTACATTTCAAGAGCTCTAGGGCTGCAAATGAGCCGAGTTGATTCGATTTTTACCCTAGTTTGAGCTTGACTCTTTAACAAATGAGCAGAGCTCGAGCCTTTATTAACGATGTGATTGATGTAACGATAAAAAAATAATCGTGTATGGTACATGTGATTGATGTAACGATAAAAAAATAATCAAATGTTCAACATTAATTAATCTTATATTATAATTTGTAGATGTCATATTGTTTAGTTTATAATTTTAACTAGTTCAAATCATGTTATTTCATAGTATCGAAATAATTTTGTACATAATTTCTTTATAAAATTAAAAATAAGACATATTTTCTTACATGTTCATGTTAAACTTCACATGATGTGAGATATATAATTTAACAATTCTATGAATTACGAAAGTCCAAATTAGATCAATTCGTCCATAAGTCGGTGATCAAGTTGGCCCTCAAACCACAATGTTGAGACATCTCATGAGCTCTAAATGAGCCAACTCACGAGTTGAACTCAACAAGCCACCGAGTTGAGCTAGCTCGCGAGCTATCAGTGTTGTAGATACAGATCATGGACACCCGAATTTATGTAACAAGATAGAGTTTAGAAAGAGATTTACATTGCCTGAGAAGAGAATTGGGCAGAATGAGTGATTTAGAATTGAGAATTAGTGTTCTTGAAAGAGACTAAAGGGAAGGTAGCTAATTGTGCGATACTTTGATAGGTTTTTACTTCATTGATATCTCTAACGATAAAACTAAAAGTACATTGTATAGACTCTGCCTCGAAACCCTAATCGACTAAACCTAATACATACTAAACTACCCTTAAAACCCTTAATCGTACCCTCAGCAATAAGCATCCTGGCACTAGTCAAAAGGTCCCATCATTACTCGAGATAAAGCTTTCATCCACAACGAGGAAAAAGAATATTGGTCAGGATGGGGATTGCAGCAGCTTCCATGTTGGATATTGGCTTTCCCAAAAGTGGTCACTAGGCTCAGGCTTCTGTTGGCTTTTTATGCTGAACCATGCAATGCATCCCATATCAGCGTTTCTGCTGCATACTAAAAGACTTTTTGGTGCCTGGCTGGGGAATCTCCATCACCCTTCTTCATCAATCAGTCTTCTCCTCATAACAGGTTGCATTCACACTAACTTGTAGCTCGAGTAACAGACAAGAGAGATAGCCAGCAAAAAAAGGTTGGTTGGAATGAAAGCCATCCATTTTCTGCAGCAGACAGAGACAAAAAAACCCAACTGCCTATTTCTCTTAAAAGAGGTAGCTGATGATGATGATAGAAGCAGGCACAGCCCCTTTGACATTTTCGGCTTTCTTTTTTTGGCCTTGTGTTGGATGCCTCCTCGCATTTATGCGCTGCATTTGGCCCCTCCTTTGACTAGTTGGTTTCCAACCTATTGGTGTTAGTATCGAGTGATCGATCAGCACATGTACATATTTCTATATGCATATTTAGAACCCCACCTTCCATGGCTCCCATTCACAAATTTAGACTTACATTCTGATGGATCCAATGTACACAAGTTCATACCAATAAATCGAGTTATTAGCAGAGTGTTAAGAGTGAATCTGATATCGTTCACTTATATGTTTATCTTAAATGAAAGTACGCACATCAAGATTAAAGTTTGCACAATAAACATTGTGCCTATGGGATGGTAATAACAAAACCATGGGTCATAACAAACCCATGAGTAATTAGTAACCGTCAAACCCAAGTAGATCCATTGATTATGGTTAGGGTAAGAATGAGGTATATATGAGTTTGAGACTTTGTAGATGTATTTGGGTAAAGTATGGATATTGCTTTCATAATCTAAATGGATATGGGTTGGATATGGATATCAAATCAATTTACTTGAGACTGTTTTAACTACACATACAAAAATTGGACTTATTTGTAAAACTTGAAAAGTTTAGGTACCAAAATCTAAGACCAAATAGTTTTAGGTAGTAAAATGTAATTTTCCATCAATATTTTGAGGACTTATATGCAAAAAAATTAATTTTAGGTACTAAATATGTATATCTATTAAGTATAGGTTTATGAAACTGTAATTTTCATTTGGGCATAGATACAAACCCAAATTCATGTGTTAAGAAACCATAATATGATAAAATGTAGTTAAATTATTGAAGAAATTGAGGTTTTCACTTATTTACAACTTTATTATAGCTAAAATATAATGTAATAAGAGGAAAATCTTAATTAATTTGACTAATATTATACGTAATTTAGGCAAGAACGGGTCGAGAATGGGGCGGGTCAGGGCAGGTCGGGTCGATGAGAGGTACCCATGCCCGCCCCGCCCCAAAACAGGTCAAACAGGTGGGGTAAATCGGGTCAGGTCGAAATTGCCATCCCTACTTCTAGCTAGTCCATGAAAACGAAAAGGTTCTAGCTAGTCCATGAAAACGAAAAGGTTAAAGGCTTTAATCACGGTTTTAACTTTTAATAATCAACAATCGGGCATTGAACGAGTCGAACTGAGGGTGAGGTGGTGGTGGCCAGTCCCAGTAGACAGAAGCGAATGAAATAACAGTCAAGTCAAACCCAGTTTGTCATGTCAACCATGTTCTCCTCCTTCTACTTCTCTTTGGAAAGGGAGAAGACTCCAAAAGATTCCGATTTCACATATCTACAAAAGAACATATTTGATGGTCTCAAAACGGAATAATAAATAAATATGAGGACTGAGTGAAGATCGATTTTATTGACTTTTTCAAAGAGCCAAAGTCAGGTTTCACGCTGGGTTGACCTTTGTGAGTCCACACCTTGCCTGCCCTAACCCACATTTAATATTATTGAAGGATGAAAACCCTACTGTGCAGCAGCATGTGGACCTGACCGGTTGGGTTTTTTAATTGGGTTTTTTTGTAGGAACAATTATCCAAAGTCAACATTAAACCGGGGAAACGTACCTTGCATTCCCATAAGGTCAGTTGATTCTCTACATTATTATATATGATAAAGTTTGCTGTTTCTCTGCTGACATTCTTCGTTTTTTTTATGTGTTTCGTAGTTCGTGATTTTATAAACCCTAAGACTCAGACGCTAAGTCAGTAGTACTCAGTGTGCAAGTTGACAGTAGTAGTGTATTATATATGCATGTCACATGCATGCGTGACCCTGTCTGCCCTAGCCAAGGAGAAAAATATGGGAGGAACCCATAACTTCTGCTTTGATCGAAAGACTCTCTTGATCTTTTAAAATCGAAATGGGCTACATGTATAAATATACTCTAAAGCATGGTCCATGAAACCATACCGAATAATCGTAGTTCAACCGTTAGACCGTTAAATAGCGCCTTCCAGTTTAGCCTCCGATATTGGTATTTCGTGGTTGAACCGCTGGTAGGGTACGATTTCATGGACCATGCTCTGAAGAAGAATCCATGTATAACAATGTGGTTCTTATTAGAATATCACTAGTACGAGTACGAGTAGTATTGTGTTAATAACCCTAACAATAATACGGAAATATCTAACTTCTACGACGATAAGTAATATAACTTTACCCAATTACATAACAGTACTCGTAATATAAGACAATGCTACTCTTACTACTCGTACTCTAATAGTTCTCGTCGTGTATTTAATGGTAATAGAAGACTAATCTAAATTAAGAGTAATTACTAAAACAATGGCGACGAATGCGCGGGTGTGCTACATTTCAATTGGTAGTGTTTGGCATGGTATGAGGAAAGATGGTCACGAGTTAGTATTCAATGGCAATTACATCACCGATCGATAGAACCAGAGATGCCGTCAATACGTAACGAAAATTCGTCACATACAACTCGTGTTGGGGAGTATATGGGCAAGGAGACGTATGACATTCTTCGATTCTCGATCTGTATGCGAAAATCCAATCCCTGGACCTCCATATGAGCTCTTGATAGTTTAATATCACTGCATATGTTGTTAATCTCGATTATCAAATGTAATTTCAGGTAAAATTACACTTGCATTATTTTTCAGAACAATTCATCACAGGACCAACAAATTCCCACAAATTCATATCTCCCTAATTACCAATTTGTAATCCGGTAATTCCCATTATTAATCCCTGCAAAACAGTGGTTTTGACTTTTGAATGGTGCCATCATCAACATGTGAGCCCGATAGCTTGATGAACTCGATCGGTCCAATATAAAATTGCCTGATACTCTGTGAAATAGAATAATGGTCTCAATCTCAAATGCAAGCTCTGAGAGGTCTTACTCTCACATATGTATGTGTAATGGAGAAAAACTTGAGTGCACCGGGTGCACCAGCAGGGATTGTTGAGGTGGTGCACCGTGCCAATCCCCTCCTGCCATCTGTACACATTTATCCCACCCAAAAAATTAAATTAAACTTTAATTTCCCTATTCCTTTTTTTGTGCTAACTGCTACGGGAGCTGTCCTCTCTTTCCTTCTTAATTAATAGGGATTTAAAATTAAAACTCAGAACTTTAATGCATGCGTGTAGGAGACTAAGAGACACTTTCTTTTTCCTTTTTATTGGCTTAGGGTTAAACTTTTCCTTTCAATTAATTAATAATTTATTGAATAAACACCCCTGTAATCAGAAAAGTCGAGTCTCAGCCGCATCATTGCCGTCCGGTGTTTTTCGTCCGGTGGTTCTCCATCGATTAAAGTACCCGGTGCACAGCTATTACCACCAGGTTCGTTATTTTCTTATTTCTTAACCTGTGGTTCATGTGTTTAGCAAAAAAATTACTATTTTCTTGTATTCTTATTGCTTGTTAGTTGTTACTGTAGTATGGAACCATGATTTGATTTGGAGTTGGATGTCCTTAAACGAGAACTGTAGTATGGATACATGATTTGATTTGGAATTATATATTCATTTGGGAATTTTTTGTTCCGTTTCCATCTCTTTCCCCTCCATTGTCGGTGCTGTATATGTGCCTTTTGTTTTTTATAGTTGAAGAAAGAAGAATCGGAAATACACCGTTTGCATTGATATCATGGATATTGAAGATAATGAGATTGCACTATTTCCTAACCGGGTGGCGGATGGTGAAGATGATAATCTATATGGGAAAACAGTGCCTAATGAAGATGAAGCTTATAATCTCTAGAACACTATTTCTCTTCTATGTACATGTCCTGTAACAGCAACAACAGCAGCATTGAGAGCCATCTATGGTGTGCATCCTTGAATTATAAGGGACCTCTGCTTTCGTTGCAGAATTGAACACTCCAAGCATTGCTCTTACATCAATTGAACGTATTGCTCCAGTTTTGAACAACATTGAATTAAGTCAAATTTGTACCCATCTTCATCACGGCAAAAAGTAGGAAATAGCTGGGGAAGAACTGAAACAGGACGATCCAGAGCGAAATCCAAAAGAAGAATCAATCGAAAAATAGATCGGCGAAATGAACAGAGAGAGCGAGAGTACATTTGCAAGCTCAGAGGACGAAGAGGGCGGCGAAGAGGTCTCACCGCCTGCGGCTGCGTCTGCTTTTGGATCCGCCTGCGGCTGCGTCTGCGACTGCGTTTGCTTTTGGATCCGCCTGCGGCTGCGTCTGCTTTTGGATCCCCTTTACTTCACCGACTCGAGCGACTGTTAGTGGAGAGAAACTGAGATAAGATAAAAATTAAAAAGTGGAGGGTGGAGGTCCTTTTCTTGGTTTTATCGAGAGGAAAGAGTTCCACAATTAAGAAACTCAATTAAGAAGGAAAGAGAGGACAGCTCCCGTAGCAGTTAGCACAAAAAAAGGAATAGGGAATTTAAAGTTTAATTTAATTTTTTGGGTGGGATAAATGTGTACAGATGGCAGGAGGGGATTGGCACGGTGCACCACCTCAGCAATCCCTGTTGGTGCACCCGGTGCACCCAAGTTTTTCTCATGTGTAATGTGTTTATTTTGTTATTTGATTAAACAATAACTAGTAATTAAGGAATTAAGTAGTGATTATATTTGATTTCAAATGCCGCAATCAGCGCTGAGTGTTCCCATCCCCCCTATCTTCATAGAAAACTAAAAGCTTTCTTTTCTCACAACGGGAATGAGTCAACGCCTCAACGGGGATCAGTGGCGGATCCAGGGGGTGGCCACCCCGGGCCCCGGGCCAGCCCTCCCCTGGATCCGGAACTAGTATAGTCCTTATGAGTTTATCGATTTAACCATTTGGCCCAGTGTTATTTTATAATAAAATTGTGTGTAATTAGGAAAATGGGTAAGATGAACATATTCAAATCAAAACTTTAAATTTAGCCTGAAAATTCTAGCTCCAATAATTCTCATATAAAGAAAAGCAAACAATGAAACCTCAAATTCTAAAACGTAAAAGACTAAAAGAACTATGAGGTTTATTCTCTTCAGAAATTACTTGAGCAGCTGTTGAAAATAGGAATTGATTAGTCGATTGTGTTGACATTTGCGCAACAAAATGAACGATGAATTTCTCTCCAATTAGTTAACTATTTTATCTTAAAGAGAGTATGCTATTGATGTGGATGTAAACTCTATTATTGATGAATTCACTATATTAAAATTTAAAAGATTGACGTGTACAATTGATATTGTAAAAAAAAACTTTGATTTTTTTACGATATCTAATTTCCTAATGAAATGCGGCCCAGTGCTACGCTGTGTCCTGGATCCGCCGCTGACGGGGATGGGGATTCAGGTTTCAACTTGTATTTGCTGCCTATGCTCAATATAAATATATAGTCCCTTTCCCAACTCCCATTTCGTGGTGATAATCAAACACTAGCTTTTGATCTGATTCGTTGATCGGATTACTTAAAGTTATCGACTCATGGACGGGAGAGAGCTAGAGCCTGAGAGCATACATTTCAGCATTTTTTTATATTTAAAACATTAATAAAGCATTCATATATTATTATATTTAGGAAATTATTAAATATGCTACCAAATTTCAGGCAAAATAGTATAGCATCTTTAATTATTTTAATTCAATATGTACATCCAGATCAAGAAGAAAATACAAATTATAATAGCCAATTAGAACAATTTATACAAATTTTATATATAAAATTATTTCAATTCTCTTTGTAATTTAAATATTTTTTAAATAAAAAATAAAAGTAGATGTATTCTCCTCTCGTCAAGATGTGGATGAATTGATAAGAGATACATATGACTTACTACGGATTAATTTTGATGGTTCAACACTTGACACAATTATACTCAATAAGGTGAATCTAATCATCATGGACTTATCCTTTTGGAATGAATTAAACATCTTTGTTCTTAATGGAAGCAATTTTCACACACTTTTTTCGTTATCGTAGACAAATAGAAATATAGGAGACAACAAGTTTTACAAAAAATTCAGTAGCCAAGTGTGATAGTCGACCAAACACCGTAATAGTCATAAAATGATATGTTTTATCTCTAAATAAACAACCCTATTAAAACGATGAAAATTGGGAGCACATCATACCATACAAAAAAATAAAAATCAACTGGAATGGACTTAACCCACACTTAAAGTTGATTGATTCTTCTTCCAACTCCACTTTGTTACCGCAAAGTTTAAATAGCTCATTGAAGCTGAGGATAATTAGTAACTTTCTAAGGTGTCATTGGCTACATAGATATATAGTTGTTAGTGGTAAATGACGTAATTAGGTAGCCCCAATCAATTATGAAGCTAGTATTTAATTAAGAGATTGATTACAGAAGGGGTTCTAGATCTCTACGAGATTAAATTAACTAGAACAAATGATTTATAAGCTCTTGACCAAGTCTTGCCGTAGCAACAAAGGCTTGGAGCATGTCTAATATTGATAAGAGTGACAAGGGTTGACTGCCAAGACTAGACTACTTCTACTGGTACAAACTATGGAAAGAGAAAGAGAGATTAACTAATTAATAATTGAGATTAATAAATCAAATCGATTTCAATTGGATTAATCATAATTAAGCTTGTGTGTGAGTGTAGCTAACTATAGGATAAGAGCCTCCACACATTTAATGGAGGCTACTTAGCAGGAGACTTTAATATATTTATTTTGATTAATCAACTAATCAACCTCCCGTTAAAGTAGTTGAGGAGAATCTTTGAGCATATATTGTAACACATTAGACAAATTCCACATCGACAAAGCACGAGAAAAAAAAAGACAAAGCACGAGAGAGATCCATGGTTCATAAGTAAGAAAACGACCTGACAAGACGCGTTTTGGGGTGAAATGGAGGAATTCTCGTGAGAACTCCAAAGTTAAACGTGCTCAGTGTGGAGTACAACAAGGATGGGTGACCTTATGGGAAGTCACCCTGAATTGCACCCTAAGTCGAAAACCGTGCGGGTGTAGAGGTCCAAAGCGGACAATATCTTGTCGAAGGTCACCCATCCTTGTTTGCACCCTAAGTCGGAAACCGTGCGGGTGTAAAGGCCCAAAACAGACAATATCTTGTCGGAAAAAAGTTCGGGATGTTACATATATCCTCCTATCTCCCTGTTTTATTATTATTATTATTTTACCCATACCCATAGTAATGTTCTTTTAAGTTTGAAAAGGTAGATGAGGTCGGTGATAGAATACTAACTTCCAGATTCGTCTGTTACCCACAACTGATTTTTAAGGCCTTCAGAAAGCGATATTGAGGCAGAGTTGGCCGGAGATTCCATGTCCCTAATTACTTACGTGAAAGCAAGTATCATATTGTAGTAATTAAGGGCAGCCCCTGCCCTAATGCCTATACTGTCTGATCATACTTGGAATAATACTATTCAGTTTGATTCTCCTAGTTCTAGAGATGGCCCGCCGGCCAGATGCATTACATCAATTGTATAGTAATTATTCAAATTGTTAATTTGATATTATGAAAGAATTCAAATTATTCAATTATTAAAAATATAAAAAAAACTACATACATTATAATTCTTACAACATCTTGATCATTAACGAAAAAAAATTCTTATAAAAAGTAAACAACACAACTCATACATGAAGTTGATCCCTAAAAAACTTAATATTCAAAACACAGTACAATTTACTCTTTGCTGTTAACAATTTACTGCAAATTCTCTTTTGTATTTCTTTTTTAGTGCTCCGCCATCAAGAGCATCTTCTCCACACAACTTTAGTAGAGAAACTTTTTATTCACCATCAATATATAGTCTCTTCTTTCTTCTCTTGCATTTCATTGAAAACCAAATTTTAATATTAAAATGTTTGGTTATGTGAAACATTTTTTCACGGTAGTATAATTTCACCTCATACAATATCTCTCACGCTTGATATTAGCATACTCTTCCTTCTTCTCTTATATTTCACTGAATGCCAAAGTTAATGGCAAAACTTTTTGTATCGTGAAAAATTTCATTTTCAAGAACTTAAATTTACCTAGTACATGTCATGAACTTTGTCTGAGATGACTCTTCTTCATCATTCATTAACTTCAAAAATGTGCATCCACATATGGTGTTCGCGATGTTATAATCGGTGAGCTTGATTTGAAATTTAACTTCTTGCTCTCGATTTGTATGTGAAGAGGTGAAGGTTCTCACTTTTTGTCACTATGTTTGAGTAGTTTTTCAATAGACATTCCAAATTGATCAAACCCAAGCAAAGTGATGAAAAAAAGAAAGCAAACAGAGTTTCTGATTTGCTGCTATGGTAAAAGAAAACTATACATCACAAACCAAAATCTAATGTGGTGATCTCATAATTTTTTTCATTTCTCGAAAAATTAACTAAGAAAGAAATTATCTAGCTGTTGGTTTTAAACTTTGAACTTCTAGTTTCTAGATGGAGATTGTGATCTACATTTCATAACTAAAAAAAAATCAATACCCAAAAAGAGAATTGAGGAATACACTAATAATTAGTTAACTAATTATTGGTAATTATATTATAAATCTTCTCATCATTATCAATTCTTATTAACGCTTTGATTTTTTATTTTGTATGTGTTTTATAAAAAACCTGCACTTTTCTTTTCTACCAATGCAAATATATAGGTATCAAATATATATATATAGGTGGCTACTTCGGCGCACTCACTTTTTTGGGTGCACTCAGTGCACCCACTCTAAAAGTGTCCATATTACATCAAATTTTGAACTTTAATTAGTACTCTCA